TGGGATCCCTGCATCCCCCGGGGTGCCACAAGGGCTGGGACCCCTGCATCCCCCGGGGTGCCACAAGGGATGGGATCCCTGCACGTCTTTGGGGGTCCCACAAGGGCTGGGTCCCCCGGGCTCTGCACCCCCGCACAGCCCCGCACAGCCCCGCACAGCCCCGCAGCAGCCGCAGGAAACCCCGCCCGGGACTCGCAGCCCGGTCCGGCCCGGGACAGCCGGGGGAAGAGCTGCTCCTCCTCCGCAGCCCGTCCCCACCTGCCCCGCTCCCCTCGCAGCCCGAGGGGAAGCCGAGCGGTTTCCTCGTCTTGGCTCAGCCGACTTCCTTCCCTTTGAGCCGGGCCTGAGCCAGGGAAACCTTAAACTGAGACACCCTTAAACTGAGACACCCTTAAACTGAGACACCCTTAAACTGAGACACCATTAAACTGAGAAACCCCTAAACTGAGAAACCCTTAATCTGAGAAACCCTTAAACTGAGAAACCCCTAAACTCTGAAACCCTTAAACTCAGAAACCCTTAAACTCAGAAACCCTTAAACTCAGCCTGCAAAGCAGCAGGGAGGAGGGAGGGGACAGAGGCAGCAGCCAGGGCTGGCAGCCAGAGGCACACGGATGCTGGGATGGAGCTGGGATGGAGCTGGCATGATTCTGGGATGATTCTGGGATGATCCTGGGATGATTCTGGGATGATCCCGGGATGCTGCAGGGCTGCTCCAGCCCCGTCCTGTGGATGGCACCCAGCACCTCCAGGAGCGACGCTGTGGGATTGAGGACGTGATATAAATAACCAATGTCAACCTGTCACGAGAGAAGGGCCCGAAATAAAGCAGCAGATGGGCCCCCCCGTGCCTGGTGGGGCACAGCGTGGGAGACACAGCCAGCATCAAGGGCAGGGAAAGGGCAGGAAAGCTGGGAATGCCGTGGAGGGCACTTCCCTTGGGATGGAGACACCTCCAGGCTCAGCACTCGCCACTCCCACTGCAAAGGAACCTCAGTCTGGGAAAGGAGCTCTCAGGAATGGAATAATGGGAATATTCTCAATATGGAAAAATTGGAATAATTCCCTTCCTACCCAAGAAACTCCGCTGGGGAAAATTCTACCTTTGTGCAGCTTTTCAAAGCAGCACTGAAACATCACGGGTGTGGGGGCTTGGCTGAATTCCCCGTGAGACAGCCCAGACAATGCAGAGAAATGTGGGTTTGATTAGGAAGATCCTCCCTGCCCTGATCTACACCCATCGCATGCTGTGCAGCAGGGCAGGAAGGGAGAGATTGCAGGAAAAGCAGTGGGAAAAAAAAAAATAATAAAGCAGAATGGAAAAAGAAATCTGTCCACAGCTTCAGGAGCAAGAGAGCCTTGCTGCGTGCCGGGACAGAGGGGTTTATTTGAGGTTCTTTTCTCACTCCTCCTGCAGTTCAGCTGGATGGGCACCGACAGCAGAGGCCTCGCGTGTCCGTGGCTGTCCCTGGACCCTCGTCCTGAGCTCTCCCTGCCCTCCCCCGCCGCGATCTGCCCCGGTCCGATCCATTCCTTCCTCCCCAAAACTCCCGCGGGTCCAGCCTGCCGGGGGGACAGCTCAGCGGGAATCGGGGAACGCTCAGGGCACCTCCCTGGCACAAACAGCAGCTGGGATGCGGCAGGCAACGCCTGGGAGGAAGAGCAGCGTGCTGAGGAAAGGGTTAACCGCGCAGCGAGCCTCGGAGCCGGCGGAGCCGCGAGCAGCCGCCCGCTTCTGCTGCGGGTGAGCCGCGGTCACCGCCCCCGGAGCACCGCACCGGCCCAAACCCTTCCACTTTGTTTGTTTTAGGGGTTTTTGCCCGAAACTCGCTGCCCGGGCTCTGTTCCAGCTCCAGCCCCGCTCCCCGAGCCGCGGCGGCTCTCGAAGGTCACGCTGGGCTGGCTGGAGCCCAGCCCGAAATCCCTGAACCCGCGCCAGGCGCTCCCGAGCTCGGCGCGGCTGATCCGAGCCCGGCCGGGCCACGTTCCTGCCAAAATTCGGCTGCGCCCGCCCGGGAGCAGCCCCGGGCCGGGCAGGGGTGGCAGTGCCAGGACAGGGGTGGCAGGGGCAGGGCAGGGGTGGCAGTGCCAGGGCAGGGGTGGCAGTGACAGGACAGGGGTGGCAGGGGCAGGGCAGGGGTGGCAGTGACAGGACAGGGGTGGCAGGGACGGGAGGGTGGCAGTGCCAGGGGCAGGAGAATGTCCCAGGCACGCTGGACAGGGCTCACAGCAGCCTGGAGCAGTGGAAGGTGGCACGGGTGGCACTGGGTGAACTCTGAAGTTCCTCCAAGCCAACCCCTTCCGTGATTCTGTGGCTCTGGGCACAGCGGGCCCGGGTGGCTGCGGTGCTTGGGGACAGCAGCGGTGGGGCCTGGGGACCTCTGCCCTGTCCCTGCCGTTCTCTTTAGTCTCTTGATTTGCTTTATTCTATTCTATTATTAATCCGTATTATTATTCCCCTGTCACTCTATTTATTCTATATTTTTTTTAAGTCCTGAAAAGAGGCCTCTGGGCTCTTTTCCAGCTCGCAGGAAGATGTTTTCCCCCGAGCGCGGCGGGATCAGGGTTTCACCCGGGCGCTCCTTTTCCTGCCGTTTCCACTAGATGTCACTTCCAGCCACCAAGTCAGCGCTGTCCCGGGATTTTTCACCTCCGCACGGGCGGAGCGAGTCTGCGGGAATCCCAAAACAGGGCCTGGGGTGCGCAGAACGGGCAGGGGTTGGGGATCTCCCGAGCTGCGGCGGGAGGAGGGAAAGTCCCGGTTCCAGCGGGCACTGCCCGGGCACGGGAGCGGTGAATGCTCGGGGGTGCTCCGGGCTCACGCCGCTCCCTGAGCCCGAAATCCCAAATCTGCCGCTCGCCTGGGAGGGAACAGGTCCGGTCTGAGCAGAGCTTCCTTCGCTTTGCTCCCACACTTGGAACACAAACCCGCAGAGGGTCCCGGGCAGCCCCGGCCTCTCGGGTTGGGGTTTTTGCAGAGTTTCGGAGCAGAGCT